GTCATGTCCCCTGTCCCAGCCTTTCTGAAGGTCAACTGTCTGTCTCCAGTCCTTGAAATCTGTCCGTCTACAACGTCTCTCAGACCTGGTGTCACTTTGCATTTCCTACTCTGTCCTTCCAGGGCTGAGATGTTATTGTGTACTCACCAGCCAAAATTGTAGGTCACCTTCGTGAGGCTCACTGCCTTTCTAAAATGTTACAGGACGTCCACATTAGTGGGGTCGGCACACCTCCACCAGTAATTACTGTTGCCTGGTGCAGTGGACTGCAGGAACAGGTATTAACACCATAAGACTGTCTGAAGTGACACATTAGCCAGGCCTGCTGTTGCCTTCAGCGTTGGACCACAGCCAAAAGTGGTCCATCAGTTTGAGTCTGTCTGAAGCGACACATAAGCGAGAGCTGCTCTTGCTTTCTGCAGTGGACCATAGGGACACCAGCAAGCACGCCTCATCCGAGATCGCTAAAATTGGAGCAGGTTGAGGGAAAGGTCTGCTCTGTGACTATTTGGAGGGCTGGGCTGTGTGGAACAGGCATGCTATAGCCAGGAATTGTAGGAAGGAGCATAGGAATTGTGGAATACCAGCCAGTGCAGTGCAGATTTCTTATGGGGGTGTTTTGGGCTCTGGTCTGACACGGTCACACAGCAGGCCTGTGGGGATCCCCAATACTAAAAAAAACTATAATAATAGTAAATTTAGTGAGGTAAGAGGCAGGACTGTTTGTAGCGCACCGTTCTGCTGGTCCCTGCCTATGCAGCAGAGCCCAGAAGGGAACAAGACGGAATTGGAAATAAAAGCTGCCGATAGGTGAACAGCGCCATCTTGTGGGTTGGTGTTCATTCCCAGGTGTACGGTTTAAAGTCAAACAGCGCTCGTACCACCGTGTACCGCGTTTCTATAGGCGCGTGTTCCCCCTGCTGGCGAGGAGACAGTGTAAGAAAATACGCAATAACACCCCGGCTCATCATTTTAAAGCTTCGATTTCTTTTTTTTTTTGTGAAAAGTCAACGACACGTGGCATAGCCTGCTATTGCAGCCTGTTTTTTTACAAAGCTCTTCACGTGATGCAATCTTCAGACCTCCGTCTATACACCTCCTTGTCCTGGAGGGAGACTACTGCAGGTTATATGATAGAGCGGTGCTCCACAGAGCAGCTGTACTGCAACTGCGCGAAAGGTTAAGATTGATATTATAATAATAATAATAACAATACTTTAGTAACCCTTTAAAATTTCTTGCATTAAAAATTTGTAATTTCGCATACCCCAGCTTGCTCTCCATGAGACACAGACAGGGAGAGAAGCTTGGGGTCAGAGCACATGGTCAGGTATTATACAGTGCCCCTGGAGCAAGTGGGGTTAAGGGGCCCAACGGAGTAGGATTTCTCTGCCGCCTGCGGGATTTGAACCGGCAACCTTCTAGCCACAGGCGCAGATCCTTAGCCACAGACCATCTCGGTCTGTTAAAGAGCGCTATGTCCTAGGCGTTGCAGGGCTGAAGCCCGAGTCAGGTAGTTATCGGACTGGGTTTCGCCTGGGATTAGTCGTGCTGGGATCTCTGTAGGCCGTCAAGTGCCGAAAGGCTCTGACAGGGGGGCGTGGCTGCGCACGTCACCCTCCCGCGAGCGGGCAGAGGTAAGCACTACAGCAAGTACTTTTCACTGCAAATCTGCCCCATTTTCTCTAGAAGAGATGGGAAAACCCACGATAAATAAAGGTGTGCTACAGAACACAACCTACAACAATTGAAAATATAATTCAATGGGGTGACTTTTAAATATGAAACGATTACCCGTTTTACTTTTGCATGTCAAAGTGTAAAAACAAGACTCTTAAAAATCCCTTGCACCATACCAGTGGGTCAGAAGTTACTTTTATACTCCTTCCAATATTTTCTAAGTACATTTTTATTTTTTCTGACACAGCAGCAAGATACAGTATCTCATAACCTTCTTAACAGGGAAGAGTCTAGCGAAAGTGAGCTATAGAAGACCAGAGATGATTTTTTTAAAAAGTACATCAAAGACCGCTGGAGAGGCAGTCCAGTAGCCAATACAGAGGAAAAAGAAGAGTCGTTGTTTGTAAAAAAATCTTTTATTTTCTCTTAACGGAAGCCCTGCACTTCAGCTGATACACTGGAGGAACTAACCCAGTGGGCAAAGGGATACATATTAGTTTTCCTGTTTTCAATAATCATCAATTTTAATTTTTGTACTTCTTCACCTACACAAAGGTCTCACAGGCGATCTCGTTAGCTAAACTGTCAGGGTCTCAGCTCTACATGCAAGTCTAGTAAAATACAAACAAGCTAGTTGGTGAGTGCTATGCTACACTGGCTCACACAGTTGCATTCCTAAATTCCCTATCAAGATCAATCACTACAAAATAAAAAAAACAGGAAAATTGTAATAATTCAGCAGTAGAAACAGTAGGCATGTCTGAGAGGGTCTGAAATCTCGAGAGGTTTTAAATTAATCGACAGCCTGCGTTCTCAACACTGATCCACCCTTGGGTCGTCTCGGATTTCTTTCCAAAATTAAAAAAAGGGATATTTAATAGAAATGTCCATTCTTTTTTTTTTTTGCTCCAGTGTTTTAAAAAGATTCCATTATAAAAAGAACGGCTCCTTGAGATTTGAGGCTAGAACCGGACTCCCACCTTCCCACGCCAGCCTTCAGTCGGAAGTGTCCGAGCCAGGCAGCCTCCGGATCCGGGAGCTGGGTTTCCCCCCCACCGCTCCGTGCCACTGGCATAAACCAGTGCTCCCATCCCACCGAGCCGAGGGAGCCGTCCCGGCTGTCCCGCAGACGAGAAGGCTCATCGTACAGGCCGAGAAGCACTTCTCAGATCACAGCCAGACGTGGCCGTCTCTCAGCCTGGAGACGGGCGAGTGCGGTCGCTCGTCCAGTCCGCTCCGCTGCCCGACTCCGGGACAGCCACGGCACGGCAGTGTGAACCACAGCCCTGTCTGCAATAGAAGAAAGCCCTGTCCTAGAAACACCCCAGCTGACAAAGACAGAGCCCAGTCTTAGAATGACCTTTCCTTACAAAGCCCAGTCTTAGACCAGCCCTGTCTTAGAAGAACTCTTTCTTAAGAAGACGGGGCCCAACCTTTGACTCGGCCTGTCTTAGAAAGACCCTCTCTTAAAAAGACAGACCCCATTCTTAGAAGTACCCTCTTTTAAGAAGACAGAGCCCTGTCTTAGAAGGACCCTGTCTTAGAAAGGTTTAGTCCTAGAAAGACCCTAAGACAGAGCCCAGTCTTAGACAACGCCTGTCTTAGAAGGACTCTCTCTTACAAACAAAAGTCTCTCTTAAGACAGAGCCCAGTCTTACAAGGAGTCTCTCTTAAGAAGTCGGAGCCCAGTCTTACAAGGAGTCTCTCTTAAAGACACAGTCCAGTCTTACAAGGAGTCTCT